ATCAGCGTGGAAAATACACGTAGTTTTAACTCATGTGAATATTGAAGAGTTAATATATCTAATGTCAATAAGATATTCAACTGCTCTTTTTATGTATTATACATTATTATTTTTTTCTGAATAATAGTTAAATATCTAATACTGCAGTACTTTCAGATTGCGATAAAGATATTTAATTATTCTAATTATAAACGATTTCCTCATACATTCGTAACAGACTAGAGTGTTTTGAGAATTTATTTCAACTATAGTTCAACAACAAAAAAATGAATAATCTGCTGCAAAAGTACCCCAGCTGCAAAAGTTACTGCTGAAATGAATGTTGTGTTACCGAACCCTGTGACTACCGAAACAATTAGAAGGGAGCTTCATAAACAGGGAATTGCTGGCCGTGCTGCAATTGAGAAGCCACTCATCAGTGATGCTAATGCCCGTAACAGGAAAAGGTGGTGTTTAAGTCATAAAGCCTGGACTATAGAGCAGTGGAAGCGATAATATGGTTTGACGAGTCGAGTCTTCTTTCACATTCTTTCCCACTTCTGGCTGAGTTTACGTTTGGAGAACGCCATCTCAAGCCTATAATACAGACTGCTTGTTGCCAAGAGTGAAACATGGCGGGGGTTCTGTTATGGTTTGGGCAGCCATATCGTGGTTCTCTGCTAGCCCCATGATAACTGTGTCAGGGCACATGACTGCGAAGACTTATGTGAACATTTTGGCCGATCAAGTTCATCCCATGGTACAAACTTTGTTCCCCGATGGTGATGGTGTCTTCCAAGACGACAAAGTCCCTGTTCACACAGCTCACATTGTCCAGGACTGGTTTTCTGAGCATGAGGATGAGTTGTCCCATGTCCCCTGGTCCCCACAGTCACCAGACCTGAATATTATCGAACCTTTGTGGTCTACATTGGAACGGAAAGTGCGCTCGTTATCGTTATCCGCAAACATCGTTATCTGAACTTGCCACCGTTTTGCAGGAAGAATGGTATAATATTCCCTTGGCAAACATACAGGAACTGTATTTATCCATTCCGAGAAGACTGCAAGCTGTTTTGGATGCCAACGGGTTTCCTACACCATATTAAGCAAAAAACATATTTTTTTAAAGGTGTTTCCATATTTTTGTCCAACCCCTGTAGTTCTCGTATGCTTTGCATATCAAACTAAACAAACAAACATAATAAAAGGAATGCCGCTTTCTTTATGGAGAATGAGAAAAAATAAATACTTTTGAGAAATCTGAAAGTTTAGCTTTTAAGATAAATGTATTAAGAGAATATGACAAGAACTGTAAACGAAAGGTTAGTAAATCAGTCTATTAGCAATCCATTGTAAAAAGAAAGAATTTTTTGAAAAAAATATTTTTTTACAGTAGAAATAACAGATATTTTATTTTCACGAGTAAAATGAACATATCAAACACTAAACGAAATACTTTACAATTTTCAGTTTCATACTGCCGAAAAATTAATGTCTTTGTATTTAAGCTTTTTAAAAAAGAAGCAGTATTTACCTTTATTATTTATTATTTAGTTTAGTAGTCAAATATCTGAATGGTATAAATGCTTCAGATATTCCATCAGAAATATCTAGTCTTAAAAAAACTCAAGCTATTTTAATATTTCTAGTCACTAAACAAAAATCACGCTTTTTAAAGATAACTGAGGACTGCAGCTTAGTTCATCACATCTGAATTCGGAAATTATACTAAGAATATTTTCAACGTTGCCACTCACTAAAGCAGCATGAAAGAAATTTAAAATAATTAATTAATTGATGAAGGGGATTTGGGAAAAACGTATTGCTTATTTTATTTCATTAAAAGCAAAATAAATAAATAAATAAATTTAAATTTAAAAGACTGAAAGCTTTCAGCTTTTATATTACGTCCAAACGGGCGTTTTTTAACATTTAGAGTGTTACCTTTACTTATTAAACATCATGCTCTTCGCATTTAAACCATAAAATTAAATTTAATAGCGATATCACAAAATATTTAAAACAGCGTATCTTTAGAATTTCCAATACAAAGTCTAACGTTTATTTTTCCGTACAATGTTACCATTGCTCGCTCTGAAATCTTTGAGTTTGTTAATCGAAAATTCTTTAATATTTGACAAAATATGAAATAGATAACAAAACAAATTCAAAATTTCAAATTTGGTCTTTCACATGCCCATATTCGTAGGAGGATTACGTCATTTAAAATTCGATGGCTCTAGGTACCGTTGTTTTATCACAATGCGAGAAATATACATACATTTATGCAGACTTTTCATTATTTAATTTCTTCAAATATAATGCAGGACTCTAATATTTGGTGGCAACATTTTTAAAAGTGATTCGCCGTTTATAGTGATTCAACGCAAAATCCCAAAACGGAAACAATAGTCCTTCAGGGATAAAACCCCTTTGGACTAAAAATGTAACAGTAGAAATTCTGAAAGGTTTCAGATTTTTAATTACGTCCAAAGGGGCGTTTTTTCAATGTTTTGTGTGTTACCTTTATTTATTAAATATCATGTTCTTACGTCCTTAAACCCCTATGACAATTCAAGTTCAACAGCAATATCGCAAATGATTTTTAAAAACAGCATATCTTTAGAATTTCCGATACAGAGTATCGCGTGCTGGAGATAAAAATGTTTTTTTTCCCCACCGTACAATGTTGCCATTGCTCGCTTTGAAATCGTTTGGTTTGTTAATCAAAAATTCGTTGAAGTATTACAAAATATGAAATCGATAATAAAGCAAATGTCACAGAACGCTTGACACATTTCTGAATTACTCATCTCCGAAGCCTGAGCACAGTTTTCAGAGTGCTTTGATTCTCTGCAAAGCTTTCAATTTACTTTAAAAAAATGGAAAAAAAAAATGAAGGCTTTCAGACTTTAAATTACGCCCGAAGGGGCGTTTCTTTCACGGGGGATTCAAAACGGAATTTGAAAAATGACATTCAAAGTCATTCGACGAAAAATACCGTTAGACATTGTAACACCTTTGCGTTTTTACGCTACCAACATAATACCAGTAAGAAATGTAAAAAAACCTCGCGCATAAAATATCCGTGCTTGAAGATGCCCGTGATGTTAATGTTAATGGAACGCTTTGAGATCGTTGAGTCTGTTAATAAAAAATTCGTTAAAGTTTTACAAAATATGAAATAGATAACAAAATAAATTCAAAATTCAAAATTTGGACTTCCAGATGCCCATATTCGAATGGAGGACTACGTTCTTCAAAATTTGATGTCTCTAGGTACCGTTGTTTTTTCACAGTGCGAGAAGCATACATACATTCATGCAGATTGTTCATTATTTAATTTCTTTAAATATAATGCAAGGCTCTAATATTTCGTGGTAACAGTTTGAAAAATGAACCGACATTTGTTTCGAACCGACGAAAAATGCCAAAACGAAATTCATAGTCCTTCTGAGCAAATTCTTCCTTTGGGCTAAAAAGGCATAATTATAAGAAAAACTTGAATGTGACACATATAAAATATTTTTATATTAATTGCAGTATACTATTCATATTACTTGAATGTTAATTGCTGTTTATTAAAATAGCATGATAAGGTATTTTCTGACTCCTTTCAGCATACTTTTGTGGTGTAACGGTAACACACTCGGTGCGTGTTCTAGAAGTTGAGGTTCGAGTCCCGGCGTGAGAATTGCTCTTAAAAAAAAAAAAAAAAAAAAAAAAAAAAAAAAAAGACCACCCCTCCTAATGATTGTACAGTGAGGCCCGAACTAACAAAAAGTGGTGAAGGATGATTCTTTACTATCAGAGTTTGACGATTGGGTCCCCTAATCCCCAGTCGCCCTTTGAAAAGGGGAGTATATAACGAATTTCTAAATTCAATCTTTAATCAGATTTTCATACTAAGGGAAAATTCCACTATTAACAGCAACATCTCTAGAGGATGATGTTTAATTTGACGACACTGTTAGGTAATGGGATGCATATTAAATATATATTCAAACTGCTTGTAATTTTATTGGTTGTGAAGCGGATTATTAATTTTTATCGCTTGTAGGTAATCCTGATGTCACCTATTATTTACGTATTTCTCATATTATCATATTAGCAGACGAAAACCGTTATCGGTATGTAAGAAAATCATCATTGCCCATTGTTTTTATTCCATAAAACATATATCTTTTTTATGAGATACACGTGTTATGGGCTAAAACAATGAAATCGTAGATTCATGAAGACTTAGAGATTTCGAAACAGGAGTGGAGGAAAAACTCTAAAATTATTTGTTATAAATTTTAGGATATTTTTATTAAGCTGTGAAATATTTTTCTTTAAAAGGCTTATCTGTTTCAATTAATAGAATATTAATAGCCGTCCTTAACTGCAGTAGCCATAATAATTCAATATAAGTAAAGGGTTATATTATTCAGCCATTTTAAATGCAGTGATAAAATGATTACTTGCTATCTGTTACTACAATAGTCACAATCTTTCAGGTGCAATGTAATTTGATGATTATGGGAATCTATTACATAATCATCACCTCAAATGACCTGGAATGCAATATTTAGTGTATAGCGTCATAAATATTGAAATATTTCAATGATAACGAGAAATAATGTTAAAAAAGGCGTTTTATTCTATACAGATAAGCAAGAAATAAAAATTTATTTTAATGAGACAGAATTTTCAGAAAGTCGTAATGTATGCGTACACGCTCGTGATGTGGTCGCAGTCATGTAATGTTCGCACGCTAATTTTCAGAAAGGAACATAAGGAAATTTACTGACCCGTATGCGTAATGGCAAACCGCACATTGAGTTGAACAGTGTTAAAACGAATGTCGCATACTGCGCATGCCCAGAAACAAATTTGGCGTAATTATTATGTTGGCGCGATTTGAAAAGAGGATAAATACGGTATGTGGTAGATGTACCGCCATCTGATTGTAAACAAATCCGGCGTTTAAGTCTTCGTAGAGTATATGTGCAATGTAAAGTAATTACTGTGTAAAATTAGATTTTTTCCTGTACTGCTCCAACAACTGGAAAGTTGAACGATACGATCAAATTTGAATTCGATTGAAGAGTGCACAAAATGGTAAAGGAAGTAGCGTAAATGCAGATGCTCCAGTGGATAGCGCGAGCTTCAAACCAAATGCTATTGCGAGATTGCTTTCAGGTATGAATATATTTTCCCATTTCAGTAAATTTGATATGTTATATGTGCAATGTGTGATATACTGTATTTTAACACATATACAGTTCATTAACATTTTTTAACATTTCCTAAATTTCTATATAATGTAGCATTAAGAAAGATGTTTTAAGAAATTTGTTTCCTTACTGTTTTAATTTTTTCGAAAAGAAACATCATTTTCGAGAAACTTCAAGAAGAAAGTTATTAGCGTAATTTTATTACAGCCAAAACTGATGCAAGGTACTTGAGTCTTTTATCTCAAAATGTGCTGAAATGTTTTGGTTGAAGTTAATATAAAATAATGTAATGAATTGTGGTATAACTGTAAAGAATTGGTTAAATAAAATATAATTAGCTCAAATTTACTTAACTCCTTATATTATCAAATATCTATTGAATAGAAAAACCTGTTGAAATATTAAATGTAACAAGTTCTGTTTTTAAAAGGCAGATGATTGGTACAGCATGTAGGATTGATTATGATTTTTAATGATTATGATTTTAATAAATCCTAAAGTAATAGTAAAGTCAACATAAAGTATATTTTGATGTATGTAATTTTCATCAATGATTACATAAAATTGCACTTTGATATAAAGTATGCTTGGATTGTTTTCATGTATGCTGTATATTATTGCAAATTAGTTCTTCATAAAATTGTATATTTCTGCTGTGAAAAAGTATGTATGCAATCATGCAAGTTGTAGGAAAACATGTACGTGTACTGCACATGTACCAGGACGACAAGATAACAATTATGACTGTCAATCATCATTTGCTGACTGTATCTGTCAAGCTGACTACACAGACTATAGTAGCCAAAGATAAGTTGTAGAAAGTGTGTTTCAGAGTTGAATATATGAATTAAGTTAGTAGGATAATTATTCTTAACTAAATAATAAAATTTTAAATAAACCCCTTATTTCATTTTTTATAAATTCTCTTATTATTATGATGTGATTTCACAACCATTGACCCTCTCCTATTGTTAAATAATTCATTCAGCACTGAACAAAATTATTATTTTATTGGTATAAAAAATAATATATTTTGTGTGTATGACCAAGTTATGATCTAAGATTTTTATAAAATGATTTTTTTAATTTCAGGCATTGGCACAGTGAATGGCAGCTGAAAAATTTTGACCCTTGTTTCTGGAAGTGAAATGTTAGATGTAAGTAATGATGTCTGAGACCCTTATCACACGGCATTTGTTTCACATGAACAACTTGTTTCGGACAATTTTTCTGCCTGGTTTACTATTGAAAGAAAGACATGCAACGTTTTCCTTCCTTTCTAAAAAAATTGCAAATTGTTCGTTTTCAATCAATCAACTATCAGCTTGTTTGTAATGGGGAACCAGTTTCCCATGTTAACCCCAAAGTGATAATTGGCTGTTGTGACAAAGCAGAAAAATTGTGCCAAACAGTTATTCTTCCGAAACAAACTGACGTGTGATAGCATCCTTACTGTTATAATACTGTGAAGCACTTAATTGTATGCTTTGCTAATGAATATGTACTAGGCAATTGTGGTTATTATGAAAGAGGTGAAATTTCAAATACAATTGTTTCAGTTACAATTATTACAAATATTATTTAATTTTGTAATAATGCTAATTAAAAATATGAATTAAGAAAATGCCAAAATTAGTGTATAAGCATACTAAATAGTTCAGAGTAAGACTTGTACTTAATTTATAGTACGCACTCATTCACACATATTATGACTCGTACACTGATATAAATTTGATATGCTTTTATACTGTTTACATGTCTTCTATATTCAGATTTGAATCATCATCTGCCAACAAATTCAGTTAATCAGGCATTGTTGACCTTATTAGTTTCTTGCAGATGTGTGAACTTTGGAAACATTTTTAGATTTAGTGTAGTTTTTGTTTGCTTTTCAGGTTTTCACATAATATCAACTAGAAACATTACCTCTTCATTTTAAAGGTCAAAGAGATAAACAAACAAACAAACAAAAAAAAAAAAAAAAAAAAAAAAACAATTAATTAGTTAATATCAAACCTAAAATGTTCTTTTATTACACAACTATTATTTAAGCCATCCAAATGGGCGCAATATTTTTATAATACTTTTATTTAATTTTCCAGTATATGTTATTGAAATCCCACTTGGGCATTTTCAAGCATATTAGTTGTTGAATATTATGTCTGACTGTAAACACACAGGCAAAGTATGTATAATACACGAGACAGGCATACATTTGAGCTTTAAAATTATTCTTTAAAATTACACGAGACAGGCATACATTTGAGCTTTGATTAACAGACTTAGTGTAGTCGCCATGACGGATAAGAAAACAGATGAATAATAGACCACCCATAATCACCAACATATAATGCAAGGTTTTGAGAATAAAGATTGCTTATTAGCATAATAGTGCACTGAATATTAGATATAAATATTATAGAACTGAAAGATTTGTCACGTATCATCTTTGCTTATTATTATATATATTGAAAATAAACAGTTTTGCTTCTGCAACAGAAACATCGAGTGTCTTGAAATGTTTTGTATACCTGGAGCTTCACAGTTCAGTACATTATACAAAGAGCAGTATATATAATGATTATCAGGTCTGCACAGAAATTTTAATGGAAAATTCTTGTGTATAGATTTAGTGTATTTCGTATCTTGTGTACATATTTAGTTGATATTTTGCAAGACATGGCAATATTTCAGACTTTTATTCTGTAATTACTGTGACAAAACAATCATTAAACAATAGTACACGTATGAAAATTATTATATACATATGTAGCTTATATTAATAATTTTCATACGTGTATGCATGTAATATTTTGGCAGGCACAGGAATGACCAAAGCTTGACAATATAACTACATCATAGGCCAGGCATTGTTATAGCTGAGATAGAAGGTTGCAAAATGACGACAAAAGAAGGATTTAGCTTTTTAGATCCCACATCTTTATTCAATTCTCTCAGCAGATCATTTTGCCTTTAGATGAAATTCTCAAAATTTATATATTCAATATTGATTTAAACTAAGTAAGATTAAATTTAGACTTTACGTCATAATCTGTGCTTTAACAAAGGAAAGAACAAGATGGGAGGAGCAGCTGCAAGGTCTTGTAGCAGCGGTAGAAAGAAAGCAGTCTGACGAAAAATGGCACGTATTCAGTATGTGTACTAGCGGTTATATAACATGCCAGAATGTTCTCGAAAGTACTGGTCTAGGATAAGATCCTGAAACTGCAGTAAGTTAATTATAGGTTGCATGCTCGCGCAGAGCAAAGCCACTGTATTTTCTATATTTTACATGTATATAATACATATTCTTTGTGTCTTGGTGAATACATTCTACCTCGCTGGCAGGTAACAGAAACTGACGATCAAAAGATTGATGAATATTTAATAATTTTTGATGAGATTATCTAGGAAAGTAAAATAGTTTAAAACGTATTAATATGGTTTTCAGAATGTTTCCTAGCATAGTTTTTTTAATCTCAGACTAAATGATACACATTATCTGGAAGTTCATATTCTTGTGTCATAAAGTATGCTTTATTGTAATTAGTCTTAGATTGTAAAGTTAAATTTATGAAAATATGATGAGTTAAAAATGTATTGCAGATATTAAACTAGATTTTTATATGCAATTTTGAAATTTTAGAGATCTTGCTTCATGTAATTATTTTTAATGTTTTTATTAAATTCTTAATTAATGCTATTATGCATTCTTTAGAAAGTGAAATGAAAATAATACTTAGGGATATCATTTGGCTGCATTCTGTTGTTTCTCAGTTTAAACTATTCTGCATTCAAAAAATTACTCAAGGATTCTCACGAATACCAGCTCAAACAGTTCCCAAAGTATTTCTGCAAAATATACGTAATTACTTAAGAATTGTATCTTTTTGATAATATTATTTAACCTTTACAAGTTACTCTGCCAAAATTATTTTGTAAATCAGAAATCTTCGAGGGGATTAGTGTGTCTCGCATAGTTACCCTGGTGCCACACTATAACACTGAAATTGATAGATGTATAATTGAATGTTTAATCAAAAATGTCTAATTCCTCTTTTATGATATTTCAAGAATTGATACTACTGAAACAAGAAATATTGGTACATTAACATTTTCTTAATATTCATTGTGTATTTGTTATGATGCTACATGTATTAATGTCATTACAAGTTAGCATTTGATAATGTTTGTTTCAACAATTTAGGGCTTTTGATGAAGTGCCACAGAGATTATCGCTTAAAGAATGCGTGCAGGCCAACCACCAACACAAGATATTAAAAGAGCAATGAAAATGAAGATTTAACTATAAGGAAAAATCTGACTAATATTATTATTCATAACACTTAATTGTTTCATATTATTGTAAATTTATGCGAGTTTTCCTGTATTCTGTTTATTTTGCAGCTTATGTTATTGTAAATTCATGTATGTTTTCATTCTTGCTCTGTCATGCATTTCATACTAATTGTTTGTTGTGCATATTAATTATATGTGTATATTACATCATTGAATTACTGTATTTGAATTTTAATAAACCTTTTTACCATTCAGTAGTACTTTTCCATAAAACCCTGAACATTCTAAACATCCCATATCACTAATCCTCAATTCTAAATAATACTTGAGTTTACTTAATTCATGTATTAATAACGAATTTGAAAAATAATACAATAGTGACATATTTTGAGGTAAAATACTGCTCAATTGGACATTTTAAAATGTTTTTCCTTTTAATAGAGGAACATTTTTTAAGGATTTAATTATTAGTATTTGAATATTGTATTAATATATGATTAATTAGTATATGAATATACTGTGTGTAATGAATAAGTAAGGCAGTGAATAAATTTTGAACAATAATTTCATATGAAGAAATATGATCTGCCTGGGTTAAAAAATTAATCTTTAAATCCTATTTATGAGATTATATGGCTGGAATCTGTAGCCCAAAAGCAGTTAAAGCAACCCACCTCCAAAAAAGAAGACATTTTAAATAGTTTTTCTTCCAAAACTTGAAATATTTAAACATTACACGACCCTAAATTTCTAGTGAATTTAAAATACTCATTTCATTCAGTTCAGCTACTAGCCATTATATGAAATTTTCCTATATTATTAAAATGTTCCTCATGATTTTGCAAGGTGAAGACCACAAATGTTCTGCCCTCATAACTAATGATGATATAATCAGCATGAAGTAGACTTCAGCGTAAGGAATATGGAACTATATATTTTGCTCTTTGTTTATTAATTAGCTCACTTTTAAAAAATTCATATCATATAGTAAGTAGTATTCATAATTTTTCTCATTTTCTTAATATTTCATTGAAGTATTTAAATGTTAATTTAATTAGCAATACCTAATAATGTCAAATGCATATATTATTATACAGAATGGGATTCTGACCATAACACTCGGGCAAAGTGATATACATGTTAATTTTTCAACAAGTTTCTGCGTTATGCTTTTTACTCTCTACACAGTGTTTGTTTTTAATTATTATTTTTATTAGGTCCTACAAATAATAAAAAATAACAGTAATACCAGAAAGTGTGACTTTTTTATATTATCCAACAGGAGACCTATGTTCACATCTTATATTTTGAATTTACAGTTTCCTTTTGTAGATGACAGACACCATATATTCAAAAGAAATTAACATGCTGCTGGATATATGCATGTGTTTTTCATATTTACAGCTGTTGCATGTGATGTTATGTAATCGGGTAAAAAATGAAAGAATTAAGTTTATTGACACCAAAACAAATGCATACTTCGATATAAAGGCTGCATAAAAATGAAAATGGCTAAATTAAAATAGTGAATTGAGGTTGTAGAGTTCTCATTTATTTTTATTAACCAGCTATTTTATGATAATTAGCTTTTCTTTCTTCCTTTCCATTTTCCTGCCAGGATGCTAATTTTGAGTGTATTCAAATGAGGTGAATTATTTCGTTACTTTTGATTTACGCCATAAATGCTAGCTGATTCTGTATGAACAAGCTGTGCACTCTGTTAATTTGTCCGAGTCTATAAAATTTTTTTTTTTTTAATTTCCAAAACATAACGAGAAGTCGCTTAAGTTTTCCAGAGTTCTCACACAGTATATATATTACCAAAGTGGGTGAAACTCGTATAAGGTGTAAGAAAGACCAAAAGGAGATTTATTAAATCAAGAAAAGTAATCGGTGGAAAAGGCATTTAATCTTAATAATGAAAAATCGAATTTTACACCAAATATTCAGACTTTTGTAAACTGTTTTATATTTAATTAGCGAGAGTTT